CAACGCAAGTCACGGGCATCGGTGGGCTGGCGTGTGCAATACTGGGCCAAGCAATCGTAGCCTGGTGCGTGAAATGACCGTGCTGAGCGGTACCGTTCCTGTTCCTTTGCCATAACCAACGCGTCGAACATGCTGGTTGCTCACGCCGTGTTCCCACTATATGTGTGCCTAACTGCGAAGACGCCGCTAGTCGGACGTAACCATTCTTCTTATGTCTGCTTATGTAATGGGTCTGGTTTGTCAACCGTACAGTAAGGTCGAATATACCGCTGCATTGTACACTCTACCCTCTGGGGCGAAAGTGTTGTCTCGCCGCTGACATAAGTGGTGAAACAACTTCCAGCTTGCGCTATACGGTTAGTGATATCGTCTTTGATCCCAAGGATGCTTATACAACTTTCAAGGTAGTTGAATTTCTTAACGAATACTAGCTGATCCTTAACAAGCGGCAGCGCTGGATGCGATCCTTGCCATGCTTGGAGGAAAGCTTCAACCTTCGACGGTGGAAAGCGAACCCAGAAGCGGCTTACATCCAGCGCTACTCTGCACAGTGCATCTTCACACGGCTAGGAGTGTTGCAAAGATAAGGACAATGTCGTCTGCATACCGAAGTCAATTAGTCGTTCTCCTTCCAAGTCGTGTCCTGTAAATGCAATGTCCATGACTTCGTCAATGGTGAAGTTTAAGAGGAACGGTGACAACGGGCATCCTTGTTTTACAAGGATGAAGGTACTGAAGGACGGCGCTCGTTTGTCGTAAGCTATCACTCTGCCCGTGCTATGCGCATATAATGCTGGGACACTGTTTACATATTTCTCAGGCACACCTTTCCTGAGTTGACAGTCACAACGACCACATTGATTGACAGAATCGAATGCAACTTGGATGTCCACGCGCACGACCACTGTGGGCAGCCAAGATGAGTGTCGGTGCTGCAATAATTGATGCCAAGTTAGCATGTGGTCGATGGAGAAACGACCCAGACGAAACTTGTCCACTCCGGTCTGGAAACTTGAGCATTTGATGATCCTTGTCTGCGACGCATTAGTACTGTCGAATGACACTGAATATCAAAAAACGATGATGTACCTAGGCGCGTAATAGGTGGGGATTATCATGCTGGCTAATCTAAAACAACAGATAACCTTGCAATAGTTGCGTTGGCTTAGACACTTGTCACGTATGCCTGTTCAACGCCTACCCAACAGTATCTTGTTTAGTCTATCCTATGTAGGATGCCGCTGAGGTAGAGGCGGACAGTTGAGTTGTCAGCACGCCTAACCAACTAATATTCACTGTGCAAGCATATGCTTCCATTTCGTTGTTGTTAACTTAAATGACTGCTTTCCTTGTGTTCCGTGCACGGAAGCACGTCCACCCTGTATAATTTTTAACCTGGTGCGCTCGGCTGTGTGCTTCTGTGATCTATTGAGCTATACTGGATGGTGCCTGTTTGCAACTTCAAAGCCACTGATACCAGATTGGTCAATGGTTAGAGGTCAAAGAGAAGCAGCTTCCTAGACCGGCAGGACTCCTTGTGGCCCAACTCAAAACACCCTGCCTACCGGTCAGTTTTTTGAAACAAAGGATTTGGTTGAGAACCCTGATCGTTCACCTGTGCAGGCCGGGGCAAACTGACAGTATCCTGCAAACGCAATGCAATGAATATTTCCTCAAGCAATTTTCTGATGCTCTGCTGGATCCAGCAGCGTGGATGGGGTTCGAAGGCTACTGCTGCAGCCTTCCCACCTTTTTATACCCCTCTTGCGGTTTTTCACCCTTATCGTCCCGTACAAACTTTACTTTTCTCCTCCCTGTTTTCATCCCCCAGATTCAGAGCCCTCCCACACATTTCAATAGTCGCTTGGCTTATGGTTTTAACCCACATGTGAACTCGGAGCTTGGTTCCAGACACCATAAGACACGACTCCTGTCGACAACTGAACGAAGTACTACTCCACAGAAGGGGCTCGGGCACTGCAGTGCTGGCTTAGGATCTGGACGCTCAAGCTGGAGCATTATCCATTGATGCACTACAGCTTGGCGACCAATGGTGTCGGCTCCCGTAATAAAAACCGTGCGTGCTTAGTTCCTTTGTATGAAGCTGGTGAATTATTTCTTGCGAGCACTACTTTCGACAGCGAAACCGGCGGAGAGTGACTTGGCGCCCATCACCTTCGGACCACTGATGGACCCAAAACGGTCACGTTGCGACTACCTTACAATGGAGAAGCTTCTTCTGGATCCGTTGCTCGATTTGGAATACATGTGTAGACACCGACCATGTGGTTGTATGTGCTGACCTGCGGACGCGTTTTGGCGGACTCACAAGAGGACATTGTGAGCGTATGTACACCAGCTAACTGGCGACGCCAGCTATCTTGAAGGCCGCTTAACGCATAGCCCCGTGGGCTGTCCCTTTAGAATCAGTCTTTCGCTCAGTAGTCCAACGTGAGTTCACACAGCTGGTTACATAACGCCGCGGGACCAGGTGCTCTTCCTCCAGCACTCATGAAATTCGGGTGACAGGCTAATGTGGATGAGGTATAATAATTATTAGTAAGCCATGGGAGCAGCAAACGGTACCAACCACTAGAGCCGCTCCGTCCTTTTCCCAATCTTCAAGGGAAGCTGACGATAGGAATGCAGAAATCATAGAGGAATCCATCTGATCTCCATCGCCTTCAACTTGCTCGCCTCTGTCATGCTGCGCAGAATGACTAGCACTCATGAAAGCCATATTAGTGAACAGGAAGCCGGGGTTCGTCGACGTCGTGGCTGCAATGACCACATCTTCACTTTGCGTCAGTCATGGAAACATCATCACGTATATTGGCGGCCCGCCGTTGTCCTGCTCCTAGATATCAAGGGTGCTATTGAATCGGCGGATAGAAATGCAATTTGGGCATGTCTACTCACGAAAGCTGCACCTGAGAAATACGTAAATATTCTCCGATCATTATACGCGCGTAGCACAGGCAGAGTGAGGGCTTACGGAAAGCTGCTGTCGCCGTTTGATATCTCCAGCGATGTGTGAGAGCGGGGACTGCTGTCACCTTTCTCTGCTACTTCAACTTTGACGAAGTAATGTAAATCGCCTTCACAGGACACGACATAGAAGGCTTGGATTCACTCCAAGGAGAACGACGTCTTGATTTATAAAATGTTGATGATATTGACCAAACCTGTGACCTGTGACAACCGATCCAAGCGGCACTGGACAGTTTAGCACTAGCTGATCGTCACTTCGGGTTTTGCTTCGCACACTCGAAGTGCAAGGCGTCCTCCAAGCTAGGTCTAAACCGCCTCCCACGTCGACCCTTGGTGAGGATAAGATATGTCCTTTAAAATTTAACCTACCTGGGACGTTGTATCAGCGTCCGTGGGATAGAAGGCGAGATCGCGAACCGGATAGCAGAAGCTCGAGGCGCTTTTGCGCCATGGTTCGGAGCGCCTACGCTCCCTGGTGGCAGTCCGCAAGACGGTGAATTTGTGTGATTGGATACACTTAGTGACATGGCTACGAGCGGAACTCAGTGGCTAGCGTGCTAAGTTTCTTTGTCTTACCCAATCCTTATTAGCCTCCCCTCCAACTACCATCTAACTATATAGCCAACTATAATTTCCTGCAGTAATTTTTCCTGAATGGACACCGATTGGTGGCTAACCGGAACGATGCCGATCCGGTACCGGTAGCTCAGCTGTCTTGCACCTGTTGCATTGTTTTCTCTCCTTTTTATACTGTTCATTGCGGCGCAGTAGCTGAAGTGTTTTCCACCTCTAACTAACGTGTCTAATGATGATGAGCACGCCTTCAGTTTTACAGCAGATGAGGCGTTAGCAAGATAAACCTGCGAACGGCATGCTGTTTTAATAGCATAACCGCACGTGCTGCTGTAATTGCTGCGTTAACACACATACGCAAGAGAAAGTCAGCAACAACCCACGTTACATGAAATAATTGGCTTCATAAAAATAAGCAACTTGCCGACAGTGTGATGAACGTTAGCAAATACAATGTAACGCGTTCACTTCTGCAAAAGGCTTTCATTTGCAAACTCCCGTGCTATGGTCACGCGGTCACCTGCAGTCATGTTCGTGATTAATAGGAAGACCGAGAAATTACGTTCTGCAGAACACGCATTTATACGTATCCTCAGCGTGATATGAGGTGCAATTTTGATGGAGCCACCTTGAACATCCGTCACACATAGCCCAGGAGACATCGCTAACACTCGTCCCAAACCCCTCTTCCTGCGGACACAGTTCACAAATCGCTGTTGGCACCTGGCCACTTGCAAGCCCATGTGCACCATATTTGCCCTGCGTTTTGCATCCAGCGGTCTTAATCATCGGCAGCCGACGAAATTGTGTAACGCACATTGCGCTGGTACCGGGGCAGGATTTACAACACGGTGGATCAAGGGTTCCTTGCGCGCACGTTTGCGATGCCCGGGACCCTCCACAGTGACTACCAGAGAGGAAGTTGACGGGCCTAGGATGGTTTCCTGACGGGCATCCATCATACCGCGCTCTACAAAGTCTGCTGATATTTCAGCGGAGCCCGCCGCGATAACTTGCACTTCATTTTCTCACTGACCTCCCAGTAAAGGGGTACATTTTCCGCGCACAGCGTTATACTTTCTGAACACTCTGAAGTGCCGCAGGGAATGTTGTAATCCAACATAGCGGAGGTAACATCCTCGAAAGCACGCAAAATATCCTGCGCTTTCAGACGTGCCTCTGAGCCGAGACTTTGGATCGTTCACCTTGATTTCCGCAAGCACCTCTTGCAATCCTATAATCTTTATGCGCCTGTCTATCACACTGTGTGCATTTCCAGCCGCGAAGACCGTTTCACATCGACCGCAGTTCAAGTTCTCCGCCCATTCAGATTGTACCGCTGAATCAAACAAACATCGACATACTTAAAGCACAACGTGAGAATGCCGGCTCCCCTCCGCCGCCACGTGCAACAAGTGACCGCAAGGCATTCGCCAATGAAGATTGCTAGAACAGTCACAGACCCGGATTCTGACACAACCCGGTACGGTCAATCCGGTATGATACCGACAATAGTCGTGTGCTGAAACCGTCTTATCACCCTTTCGCGAGCATATGCAATCAACCTGCTTACAGGTTCTGACGGCAAAATCCAGCACCACGTGCTGGATTGCTTCGCATGCACTCCGTCGCTACCTGGGTGCTATGACGATCAGCCATGACCTTCGCACCATTAACGATCACTTCGAAAAGCACCCGTAAGGAGGATCGCTCGCTCAAAGTCTGTTCAAGGTGCATATTTTCATCCTCCAATTGTTTAGTGGAAGTGCATCTGAACAGTATGACAAGCCGTAATTGAGGTGCCACCCAGCATCTCCGCTATGGCATCCATGTTCAACGCAAATACTGAAAGCATTCCCTATATCTGCCGAATGGTATCCAGGCTTCCGTGATGAAGCGTCTCCTTAGGCGTGAATATCAGGTTCCTCAGAAAACGGATCGGGATTGCTAGGTCCGCAACCGACAGCTGACGGCACCGCCTGTTCATATCCCGTAACATGTGGACACAGCACAACACCGTGCACGCCTCGTGTACACATCCCCGAAAGCGTTGAGTAGTTGCGCGCATTTGTCTACCACAATAGTCTGCACGGATGCCATGACTGGAACGATTGCACGCGTAGCTGTTACTGCCAACAACTAACTCTCCGCCGTCTCATTTGGTAACAAGGCGCAAAAAATGATATCCCCACCCCCGGGACGTCAACGAACCTGCAATGCCATAGAATGTATCCGCGGTAGTTAATCTGATGTGTCGAATCTGTCAGTATAACTTCGCCGTATCCTGCAACCCACCTCCGAATGCACGCAGGTGCGAAAGACAGGAAGCACACCTCCAACGGCTCCCACATAACCTTACATGAACCTTCGTTTTCCAACATGGTGATTGCATGTTCAACCTTACTGACTTGCTCCGCCTGACTCCGATGCCCCAGATGATATAAATCAAGTCTGTTAGTATGGATGCCATATTCCGTTAATATGGAATTTCAGATTTCACTTGTCTGACGAAAAGGCTACATCAACTTTGTTACCACCGTCTCCTTTACCACATTAAGCCGCTAATTAGCGGGATAAAGCCAAGGTTTCCCAACTGGAACACATGCGAATGCCTCAAGCAGGCGTGGTCAATCTCGTAATAACTGCAGTTCAGTACACGGAAAATCGGGCCTCGCAGTTGTAGCACCTGTAAACAAGAGGATTCAACAGCAGGCAAATTATCTTGCAACTTTCCTTTTCCATTCCACATTCTTATGCTTGCTATGCACACATCCATATTGAATGCAGCTATAACGGAAAGCTCAGGGAGACCGTTTCCAGTCCGTTAATTATGACCTACCGCAATAATCATCGTGCATCTATACAACGAGCTTGCAGTTTTTCTTTGGAACCGAATCAAATCGCATTGGAACTCCTCAGTTTCCTGGTAACCAGCAGTTATCATGCACCGGATAGCTGCGGTATCCTCCTGCAGGGCGGAAGACACGAAACGCTTCAAGATGTACAGGCTAAATAACTCAAATAAACATACCACTTACACTGCCTTCATTACTTAAGCAGGTTATATATAAATTACCCTTAACTTGCCCTTACCGTTTACATGACTGTACAATATCTAAACTACATGAGCATGTTTACCCTGACTGTACCAGGCATCCGTCACTGGCAACACTTTAATCAGTTATTGTTAGGATGTCGCTCCGTGGGGCGTCATACTTCATAGCAAGCTAACAGGTATGGAGCTGGGCTCTAACCAGCGGCGGAACATTTTTTACCGGCCCAGGTGAAATGGAACAGCAGGCACCAAGTGGGCATGCGCGAGACTTAGGAATTAATTATTGAGGTCCAATAATAAACAGGAATGCACCGCGCATGTTCACAAAGTGGTACGATAGTGTACCGTTCACAGTGCAGTAGTTTACTGTAACTACGGTAACATATCTCCGAAAATGCCAAACTGAGTGATAGCAGCGAAGTACTGATATTTCAAAGGCTTGTTAAACGGTGAAATATGTTAGTCGTCAAATAAACCTAAGCAAATTTCAGGTATACTATGAATGAATATGCGCTGAAACGTTGTAGGAAATGTATAATTCAGGCTTACCTCGCACAGTGTGCTGTATTTGTTCGTTGGTGATGAATTCTTATAAAATATCGTTTGCTGTAACGGGGATATCAGGAAATCCGCAACGTGAAATAAATAAAACATGTAGAAAAATGAAATGGGAATGGTGGGACCAGGACTCTCACATCTGGCGGGAACGGGTTTGCGGGCCAAGATCAACCGGCACAGCCGAGAGTATAATGGTAGCGTAGGATACTGATATGTATTTAAATAATTTGTATACATTATAAATAAACCAGTAGCGGATGTATAAAGGAATCGGGGTCCTGTAGCTTTTATAGTGCTACAGGTTACCGTAACCTTGGTACCAGGTGCCCAAAGTTTCAAATTTCATAAATGACTCTAAATTGGACCTAGGTTATTGGATAAGTAAATAGTGCACTCAGCTAGTCAGAAAATGTAGAATCGCCACTTTAAGGTAGTGTCTAAAGAGGGATACACATAAATGGAAATGGAAATGAATAGTTTGCTTACCTCACATGCTCCTATGTGATTTCTTATTTGAGAAACGACTGGGCACAATGGTTAGCGTACTTCGAGAACTAGGTGGAAAAGAACGGAAATGACTGTGAGAATAATATGTAAATAACTTGGTAAACGGATGTGGCGCGAATAGGCAAATAACCATGCGATATGCGCATACCTATTTACATATGGGACTTGCTACGGAATGCGTATTTATAAAGGAAAAGTAACGCGAAAGAGTCAGTTGCATATACGAATGCCGGAGGAGGAGTTAGTTAAGTGAGCTAAAGTGAAGGAGAAGTGAAGATGCATATCGGTCCATAGTCAATATGTGGTGGATAAATGCTCATAACGGCGGAATGAGCTTTCATAGGGTACATAAATGATTGATGAAACCATTACTTTACTTCACTTCTCCCTTCTCTTCTACACTTTGGTTCCTTCGTCTCCATCTTTACCCATTAGTATTTTCCAAATACCTAGTCCACTAGGTCTCTTGCGAATACTTATACTTGTGACCCATGAGTCATGTCTACTAAAAACAGTTTAACAACATTAAGCCTCATGTGAAATGCCAGGTTCAAGCGTCGTTGCCCTAATTGAAGCTTTTCATTAAGTCTGAGCACTAGTTACTATAGTCAGCAGTTTCCAAACACTATCAGTAGGTAAGCCGCAAAATAAAAAAATATATCTTTCTTATTGTTGACCATGAGCGCACTTTAAAAGTTCTAGACCCAATAGTCAGACATTTTGCTCTCCACTTATACTCTCTTGGCCCCATATACTTAGCTTTATCTGGTATACATGTGCCTTTCGCTATTGTCAACACTAGTAGACAGGCATAAAGAAAACCAGATCCTCTTCTTTAACTGCTTTTGCTCGTAAAACACTCGCATTTCCAGATTTCATTTCACTGGCACGAAAGCTAACCAATGACAGAGAGGCCCCTGTCACACTGGCTGGCTGGAGCACCAGAAACTTTCCATCACCACTTTTCTTATCTTTGCCGTCCGTGTGTCTTTCTCTTTTAGCTGGCTCCAAAGCCTACCATGCGCTATGCGTAATGGCGGGTGAACGACCAGCTCCCACTGGTTTCTGTTACTATTCTACTCCTGATTTACCTTATCGCTCTTTGCTTAGGGTGCTAGAACAGCTCTTGCCAGGCAAATCACAAAAGAAATAGTCGGTGCGACATTAGAGTATCAGTTAACATTGCCAACTGGATGAACACCGCCGGCACTATCTTCGGAACTTAAAAATGGAGAGAAATAAAGCGAAATTCATCAAAGAGCTGCACAATAGTGTGCATCTACACATGAGGCATAACAATACCTCAAGTATGAGCAAGCTCAACCACCAGAAGTAGAGTTGTTAAAGCCCAACCAATGTAGACCAAAACGGATTTCACGCCCAAATGCAATTAGCTAAATTTTACTAAATTTTCCCATGCTTATTTCTTTATTATTGGTGACAGGCTCCTGTAGCTCACTGATGTTAGTGACAGAGCCTCATGAATATGGAAAATCGGCTCTAAGGGATAAATCTTGTGATGTTTAGCTAAGTAATGTGTGTATTTTGCAGGCCGAAATCTGTCAACGGATCTGAAAGATCCCCTGAGTTACTCAGGTAGACCTGGCTCATGCGGTCTTGTTGTAAGCTTTAGAAAAGCTTAGAGGCTTAAAAAATGCTAAACTCTATTTTACTGGTTGTTTATGTGGCTCAGTATCCCCTGAAAACGGTATGCTGTGGCCTTCTAACCGTGAGTTAATTACAAGCTCCCCCTGAATTCCCATGTAGATATAATATTCCTTGCTAGATTCCTAGCGTTTTCGCGCAAGATCATCCCTTATTTGCAGATGTTTGTCATGTATGCCTGCAAAGTTTACTTTTCGGCCACCTGCGCAGTCCGTAGTTGTCGCAGGGTATTACAGGCTAATTAGAGCATTTCTGGATAGCTATGCCTATCTAGAACATACGCCGCTTCCCTACTTTTTATATTTTTTCCTTTTTTCTGCTACCTGCTTGCAAAGCAGAAAGCCATTTTTAGCGAAAAATAAAAATGGCCTTATTCGTAGACCCTCATTTAATTGCGAATAACTCGCAAACTACTGCACGTATTGTGTTGCTTTTACGTTCAACGTATTCAGGCGCTAAAGCTGGTCCAGACCAGAGTAATTTTGTGCCACTTAAAGCGGTATTCTAACTGTAGAAAGGCTTTTCTTTTATCTGAGAATAACTCAGGTTGAAATTTTGCGCCGGAGAGCAATATCAGCGTATGGAAAGTAGGGCTGTATTTTTTGTTAATTGTTATTTTTCGACTAAAACACGCAGCTTTCTTTTCTCTCTTAACAAATTGTTTCTATTATTGTCCGCATTTATCGGAATTGTTTTCAACTTTTCGTATGCCTTACAATCCCTTCACTCATTTCTTCCATGTGCGCACAATTGCGGCAACTGAGTGGCCAATTAATGTGCGATCAATTTAAAGTGCACTTCGGCGAATTGGATTCTGTTCCAAGGAGAAATGGCACAACTACACCTCCGCGAAGTTTTCACAAAAGAACAAGGAGTTCACTATCACCCGCAGGAACCAGAAACATGTCAAGTTGGGCGCCTACGACCCAGTAGCTGTATATCAAACAATGCCAATGCATCTGTAATTACTGACGATGAACATATACTTATATTTTACCTACTTCCATGCAAGAGCATCGGATTTATGTAAGCTTTGATCTGAACCCTTTAGGGTGCAGCCTCTAGCAGGTCTAGAAATATACCTATTTATTCATTTATATATATTTATATATACATATAAGTTGCAAAATTAGAATGC